AGCATATTCTGTCTCTGTTGGTGTTATCAAAGTTACACAAGATATAAGTGAATGCAACTCAGTATCATCTAGAAAGCAGCACATAACTGCTACCCACAGAATTTGTGTAACATGTGCAAGGATAAAGCACATAAAGCTTATTTTTAGTTGACCATGTGTAGCAAAGAGATCTAGAAAATAAGACTACAATATGATAATACAGCATTACCCTGAAAAGAGAAATGCAGCAACTAAAAACAAGCAAACACTTTGTAAGTAATGAGAAAAAATTTTAGATTGACTACTCAGAGCAGGTAACCTTGATGCATTCAAAGCAAGGAAGAGTTAAAAATAAAATAATTCATAAAAATGAGCTTTGTATGCTGTGCTTGTATTTTTACAGATGATTAAAGAAGCACTTAGAGTGATTTCACACTATATCACCTTGAGAGTTTCACATCAAGTAGGATTGCTTTATGTTTTTTCTTCAAACCATTTTATTTCTGACTCATTACATATGCTTTCACCATCCAGCCATGGATAAAGGTGAGGCACACTGCAAAACTTGACCAGAGCTCTGTGCTTGGGCTGACTGAGGTCAATTGCATTTTGGATCAACTTAGAAAGATGTAGAGTTGTTTTTCCCACTGATTTGTTGAAAACAAAATTTTTCAGTCCACAACATGAAAATGTAGTGCTAAAGTGTCCCAACTGCCTCTGTAGTAGGTGTGTACCTGAATTCTCCAGCATACTCTGCTACAGCCCTTCCCAGAGCTAAAATACCTGGGTGGGATATTTGGCTCCATCAAAGAGATTTCTGCAAATGTCACTTCTGCAAGAGGTGAGGAGTTTTACAACCAGCAGAGGACAAGCACTTCCCTGCAGTCGGAAGGAGGAGCAGCCCCAGGTTGTTTTTTCTCATCTGTGTTGCTTCACTAGCTTTTTCCTGGTAGATGTTGCTCAGTGTTTCACTGCATAACATAATTTAAAGTACAATGTCTGGGGCAGGTCTCTGTGCTGAAGCAAAGACATCTACCAAAGCCTGCTTTGTCCTGTGTGGTCTGGCCAGAAGGTGGGCTCCAGAAGTAAGGCTGTGCCACCTCTTCCCTGGTCCCCATCACCCCATCCATCTCTGGGCTCCTGCAGAGGCCCACTGGTGACACGGCCATTGGACACAGTAAGGAGGGACTGCACAAAAAAACCAACATTGCACTGAAAGGCTCATATTTAAAAAAAAAAAACAAACTCTTTCCACAGGAGGCAATTAGAAGAAAGAAAGCTTTCAGGGTGTATTATCAGTTCAAACATTTGAATTAATAAGAATCTCGGTTTTAGTTGTTGTTTCTATGCAAAGGACATTTTCCAAATAACCATAATTTAATGTAAGATAAACCATGCTTGTACAACTAAATAAAACAGAACAGACACTTTGGACTCAATAAGTGCTCTAACAAAAACAACAAAAGAAAAAAGTCAGCAGAGGAATTTAAGAATCATTGACAGTTTTTCAAAGAAAGGAAACAAATCTGATAGGGTCAGCCTGAAACATTTAAAATCTAAAGCAATCAACTGAAGTGTGCTTTTTCATACTATAGAATTCACATCTTTCTGCATCCTGCTCAGAGCTACCTGCATAAGTAATGAGTGCATTAATTAGCTAGAGATAAATAATCACTGATATATATATAAATTTTATCTAAATTGTCTGTGGCATATAGCTTGATTCTTGTGTCTTTTATCTGCTGATAATCTTCAAGTGTGGATTTCGGCAGGCCAAATATTTTTTATCTCTGCTGGGACTACTTTTGGCAAGTTTTCCACGAGTAGGAAATGAGCTGGAAAACTCTGCTGAAACATCAAAGCAACAGCTTAAGGTGATCTTTCATTTAATGATTTCAGACTGTCTCTGCTGTTTAACAACATACTGAGTTCTCTCTCCCTAACACACTTTTAGATACTGTGAATAAGATGACTTTATAAAAATCATACATGATAATCATGTGAGAGATTCTGTCACTTTGGAACATTTTTAAAATTATAGTTAATATGAGATATTAAAGCCTCAAGCGCTATCTTTTATTAGTGCATTCATTTGTACAAACAAATGGATTTAAATCCTTTTATGCCTGAGTAAAATTTGCTAGGGTGGGAGATATATTATTCATTTGTTTGACTAATTTCTGCTTTGCCTCCCAATTTTATTATAAATATCTATTCTTCTCTATCCCACATTTTACGATACAGAATTTATGAGCTCAGGTTTTGCCCTCAGGTATGTATCACATGTATTCAATAAATTAGGGACAAAGTGAAGCCTGCTGTAACTCATACTAGCAAGAGGGGCAATCTAGATAAAAATCCAAAGGCCAAAAAAGCAATCTTTTCCAGGGGCTAAATTCTAAGGTAAGGAAAGACACAAGTGGATATAATTAGATGGAGAATGAAAAGAAGTCTCAGTAGTCATCTCTTCAAAAATATCATAATAGGTCATCTGGACTCAGAGGTAAATGATGTGCAAAGAGCATTTAACTGTGCCTGTTCTTGAAGCAACTGATCCAGTTATTAATTGTCCAGTCATTAACTCGGGCTGTGCAAATGGCTTAACAAGCCAAGCAAGGTCAGAATATATTTGACTTCTTGAACAGTATTTGCAATTACATTTCTCTCACTTTTAGTGTAATCATTATTCTTAAAACAGTCTGCTTCCTTCTCAGAAGGCACTTCATAGCAAAAATGCTATCAAAAGTCACTGGAAAGAAGAAGAAGGAAAAAAAAACAACAACCACACCCACAACATTATATAATTACTGCTCCAAGTCTGAGCCAAATACCTACAAAGAAACATGACAGGGTTTGAACCATTTGGTCGCCATATTGTATGCTTCTATGGTAAGAGAAAATAGAAACAAAAAAGCTTTAAAAGTAAGCAGTTACAAAAAGAAATTGTATCAATGTGAACTGTTTCAATGTTTGTTCACTTGGTGATGGTTATCTTGAAGGAAAAACAAAGAGACGATGACGCTCTGAGAGGCATTTATTTTTTCAGAGCACTGGAAGAACATGGGATCTATTGACCTGGAACAGCAGCAAGAACAAAAAAACAAGGCCAATGACAGTGCCTCTGGCAACAGTTAAAAGCTGATGTTTCAGGAAAGGGGGAGACCAGGAGTCAGCACACACAAATAGACTTGCCAGAGCCATAGCACAAACCAGTGACTAGCACACATTTAGGTTTCATCTCAGATGCTGCCTTGCTTTATAGCCACTTCTGCTGTATCGTGCAGCATGGTTTCTCTAGCCTGCATTTAATTGTGAGCCCTGCTTCTGCCTAGAGCCATCTGCAGACAGAGGAAGGTTTTGCCCAGAGATGAGTTTACCTTGTTGTCAGTTCATAAAAGGCTGCATCAAAGCAATAAAGAGCAGGGAGATGAGCAAGGCAGGTTAACTATGCTCTGATTAAAAGAGTCATTGGCAAAGAAGAAAGGGCAGAGACAAATCAGGCACAAAGGCAGAATCTGCTTCTGCACCCACCAAATAAAGAATAGAGTGAGTATGTCACAGACACCACATCTGTAGGTATCTATTTTGGTTTGAAAGCAAGTATATGTGACAAAAAATTCTCCACTCAAAATAGGAACAGGTCCAACTGCTATTCGTCATGGCTAAAGGACCATTACAGATGGTTCTATTAAATTGGCAGCAGACCCAAAGAAAAGGACCCCAGACACCACTGGATGGAGAAATGGGCCTGGAATGTGACCTCAAGTCTATGACTGTGTATGGTCAGTAACTTAGACTCGCTGACTTGGGTGAGAAGTGACACTAAGGGCAGATTAGTCAGCACTGGGACATGAGCAGTGGTTGGAAGTAGATGAAATTAGTCCTCATTTTTACATCACTGTCACCACCATAACTGTACCACAAATGCTACTGAACTCACTCCCAGTCCTGAAGGCAGCACACATTGTCACACTCTCATAAACCTGGAGAATAAGCTGACCATCAGCTGATATAGCCAGACCTGTTGGCTCTGTATCAGAGATAGGGACTGAATGCGGATGTCTGGATTTCCTTCAAAGAACTGCGTCTCAGCAGCAGCTCAGACGTAGCACAGAGCAGAGGAAATTAGCTTCTATTTCTATTACCAAAATGAATGCTTCCAAAAGATAAACTTCTTCTTTTAATAAATGCTTATCAGTAATGCTTCCATCATTTGAGGCTGCACAGAAGTAGGAACACCCAGAAAAAAAATCCTGAAACTTAGTCGAGTGTGGTCAACAGCAAATTCAAATACCAGCCTCCTCCTAAGCCTGCACTAACAACTTCAAAAGAACCCCACACCATATTCCCTCTCTTCTTCCTATGCCTAGGATACAGCAATTAATAAGGTCTCATGGCGAGCTGCAGTGGCTTGCAACTAGGAACAACTGGGAGGCACTGCCTAGTCAGTTCACCAGGGGTTCCATTACAATATGTTTGTACAACAAATTCTGTAATTAAGGATAGGACAGGTGTACTCATCTCTTACTGCTCAGCCAGGAACACCAAATAAGTGAGTTTGCCCTCAGATGACTGAAACAAGGCATTTTTGCCTGTGAACATAGTTTGCTATGCCTCCATGGCAAAAATAAAACAATTATAGAATGTCACATTAGTTTAAAAATTTTATGACACAGTAATATTTCTCCAAACTTGAAATCCTTTTAAAAGTGGCTTGGAGAAAAAAATAAAAACAGCTTCCAGAGTGTTTCACTGGCACATTAAGTTCCAAATTCTAAGTCCTGGAGGTGAAATGTTTTTAGCATTTATGAGAGCTCTGGGTTTCCAGTTCTCATGCTGAGACAGCTATTAATACATGACAGAAAGCATCTGTGATCTACTGCTTGGAGGGCTCAAACCCCAAAGCATCCAGAAAGTCTGTGCATAATCCTTCATTCACATGGCTGATTGACTGCACTAAACATAAGTCAATGTGATGCATACACTCGGATGTGACAGGCTCAAAATAAAATGTACATTATAAATTATTTGATCTTTATTAGAACAATAATCTTTTATAAGAAGATCTTTATTAGAAGAATCTTTTACACAAATCAAACATTTGATTGTTTATTAAAACAAGAATCTTTTACACAGAAATTTTCTTTTAGAGAAAGGCATAGGGCACTGAGAGATATTAATGCCAGCATCAGCTCCCATAAAACAGAGACAATATCTATTCTAAGCCTTGCAGATTTAAAGTGCACATTAAAAATGGGATTATGCTACTTTGAATGGGAAAATGATTGCCATTCTAATTTCCCACTAAACCAGACTGGAGCATCCTGATGAACACAGTAGTCCCTTACAGGATTACAGCCCACTCTTCTGTTGGAAAATTCTTGGTCCATTTCTTTGACGTCCAGGCTTCTGTTAGACTGTGTGTGAGTGCACAGGAAAGTACACTGCAGCAGAACCAGGGCCAAGCAGCTGCCCTGAAGTAAGGCTTTAACACACCTTTCTGAATCATACAGCCTTCATGACATTAATGTTTCTACCCTGCACTGTTTTTTAGTTTTGGTTTTTTTGGTTTTTTTTTTTTACTGGAAGACTGGATCAAAGCTGTCTATCTGGCAAGAGAATTCAGTCACTTCAGTCAGTCTGGAAATATGTCTCGTTTAAACTTGAATTTCGAGAAGGGCATATTTTCACCACTTTAGTCTTCCTCAGTAATATGATTACTTGTTTTCACCTGATTTGGCATTGGTGTCTGCTATCTAGCAGCTTTTCCCTGTTGGTGCAGTTTCTGCAATTAAGATGTCAAGCTGATAAGCAGGGAAATTATGTAAGTGGTGTCTATGGAAATTCTGACTGGATTAAAATAAAGGGAAAGAAAAAAGGTGTAAAGATAATACCTGGCAAAAGTATGCATCTTATAAGTAGAAATGCATGCCTCTCTTTGCCAGCTTGTCTCAGAGACAGAACTGCATGGCAGAACAGCCCATGCTCTCCAATGCTTCACCCAAGGAAAGCTCCAGGAAGATCAGCAGCACAGCCTGTGAACTGGCTTGTCACATTCCTACTGCAGGGATGCATTCATGTGGGGCTTCTTGCCCTTCTCAGGCAGCTGTTTTCATTGCGGAGGGGGGAGCTTTCTTAGGTGCTCTCTATTGGGGAGCAGTGACTGCAAGTCTGAGCTGCTGATAAACTTGTCTTGTTCATCTCTCTGAAGTTACAGTATGGAAACATGGTTGTGAGACCTCATGATCTGGAGAATTATTTTCCCAGGGACTGTCTTTCCTTGCACTTCAGGGGTGCTGACTCCAGTCTTCCCAAATGCAGGTAACTCAGCTGGCCTGAATTGCAGGGGGAGAGCGGGGAACCCATGCACAATCTTCCTGGAAAAGAGACAGCTCATGTGCACAGTCATCACATGCTCAGTTAAGTGCACTGCGGAACTGCAACACCAATGCGGGAGGATGTGTTTCCATAACCTCAGCTCACCTAAAAAATCTCTGCATGTTCTCACGTGCTGGAAACACACAATCTACAACACATGACAGTACATCTGGGAACAGATCAGAACAGCAATTTCCCTTACTTGCTAGATTAACAATTATGGAGAACAGACATTCATATCCCAGGATCTGTTGAGGATTCACAAGAGAATTGTGGTCAATTTTGAATTTTGTCATGTTTGGGCTTGAATTCTCTAGTTTGTAGTCTTTTAAAATCACTTCATATGGAAGAGCCCTTGATTTGACTCTTTGCTTCCACAACAACACAGCACATTTGTTTATTTTCACCAATTTCAGTTCACTTCAATGCACAGGCAGAACCTTTGGGTTGAGGCTTCATAGAAACTGCCCCACAAAAAGAAAAATTAAAAAATAAATATTACAATTTGAAAACATGCTGGATTCAAAAGGAAATTAGGAAAAAATTATAATTTGGGTTTGGAGGGCTCAGACTGAGAGTTGGGGTGCGACTACCCATATGTTCAGTATGGCCTCTGTGTGAGGCAGAGGCCATGAGATTTGCAGAGAGAAATGCACATCAATTCCAAATAGTACATTAGATTATTTTAATGTCCACAGCTATAAACTGCAATGGGCTGCAACTTGTCCCAGTGACAATCCACGCATCAGTACTGTCTGGGTATTTTAGTCTTGCAAATGCCTTTTTTGTCCAAATGGGTTGCTCAGCAGTAATGATCATTCAGAAAAAAAGTGGCAGACAGGGTCAGACAGCAGTAGAATGAAAAGTGAAAACTTGAAAGATGCTAGATGAATATTTATGCAGAGCAATCTTCACTCTCGAATTATGGCACATAATGGGATCAGCAAAGCTAACGGAATTCACGCTGTGTGAACTTCCTCTGTGAGAACTTAAGTTTAATCTGCACATAAGACTGACAACCCGTGAACACAGAGAAAACATTCAATGGCATGTAAAAACTTCATTGAAATAATGTTTCTGACTATATCAATGTTCTGGTAATGACAGAATAAACAACTTTTTTTTTTTTTTTTCTGGCAGATTTTAAATCCACAAGCCACTTTTTTGAAATGGCATTCAAACATTGTCACGGAAGACTTTGTTCTTTTGTTTCATTGCTGATTTGGTATGTCCTACTGGCAACTGAAAAGCATCCACGGGGATTGAGTAATGAAGACAAGGATTTCAGAGCAGCCTGGCACTGAACATCTCTTAAAGACTGGTGATGACAAGGAGCAGCCAGCCAATGTTTAGCTCTGATATTACAAGATTTGTCGGGGAATACTTTCCATTACAAAAACAAATGGCAGTTGGCTGACTTTGAAGAATCCATCTTATTGTGCAAAATTTTGTTCTCAAGGTGTCCAAAACTCAGTGCACATGGGCAATGAAATCCATCCCTATGCTCTAGGGTCATCACAAGAGCTGCAGATCAGTTTACTCCTTTAGGGGGCTGCAGATTTAGTGCACAAATTAGGTCTGTATTTCATACATTCTGTATTTTTTGAGAGCAGGTCACTACAAAGCCCAAGAAGCTTTTATAATCCATCACTATGTGCAAATCCCAAAACAGCTGATCACCTGGGGACTAAGTAACTCATATATTTAGACAGATAGCTAAACCTTTTATGTTTATTCAAGGGTCTTTAAAAACCTGCTCAGCAAGTCCAGTTTTTTTCCTTGATATTTCTACAATATGCTGACACTGTTGCTGGTTTAAGTCTTAATTTAAAGTATTAGAAAAATAGTTTTCCTTACAGGCCTTTAGCAATTTCTTTTCTGAACTAGAGGCCCTGCTTCATCCCTGTATTGAATACTTCAGCACATGTCTAATCCTTCTGAATTCAAGGATATATTAAAAAGCTTTATTGAATCCAGAACTCTGTGAGAAACTGGGAAAGAATGCAGCTCCAGCTATTTGAAATATCTGAAGTCTTCCAAATATCCACTATACGTGTTATCTAAGTGTTATCTGATCTTTTTTTCTCCTCAAGCATCTATTATTATCCAAACGTAGCAGAAGCACATCAGAGTTAGCTGGCTACTTTATGCTTGAATTTAATTAAATGAGAATATACAAAATAAAAGATGCAGAGTTTAGCCCATCCAGTAATCCCACTTTTCCCTTCTGCTGCTAATACGCTCAAGAGGCCAAATCCTGCCTGGATCGGGGTCCGCAGTCCTGAGCGGACACACCAGACGCTTTGCAAGAGGGCCATACATTTATTTGTCTTTTCCTATTGATTTACTTATTTTACATAACACTTTTCACTGGGAATTTTCTGATTTCCCTTAGAAATGCCCGAGGCTGTGGGGTTCCGGGTCTGGTTTTCCCGTCTCCTCCCCGGCTCAGGCCTCAGCCTCGGCGGCCCCGCGCGCCGCGCCCGCGCTCCGGCCACGGCCCCGGCACAGAGCGCGTCTGTTGGTGCCTGCTAAAAATAGACCGGAGCGCCTGACAACTGCCTTCTGATTGGCTGCCGCTGAGGCGCCGGCAGCCTATGGGCGCGCGGGGCCGGGGGCGCGGGGGATGCGGGCAGGGGCTGAGGGAGCGCCGAGCAGGAGCCGGCGATGCCTGCCCGTGCCCGTGCCCGTGCCCGTGCCCGTGCCCGTCCCCGGCGGCGAGCGGAGCCCTCCTTCTCTGGAGCCCTCCTTCTCTGGAGCCCTCTCTCTGGAGCCCTCTCTCTGGAGCCCTCCCTGCCTCCATCCCTCCGTCCCGGGCCCCCCCGGCCTGCGGGGGCCTCTGCCCGCCCGCGCCGGCAGGGAGCGCTCCCGGCTGCGGCGGAGCGTTGCCGTGCTCGCTTCTCGACAAAGGCAGTGCGCGGAAGGGTTAACCCCTTTACGGGAGTGTGTTACCAGTATCTGTTTTCCTGTATCTTCATGCATTCTAAAGACATTTCGTGCACTTTCTTGTACCTGCACAGTGATAAACAGAAATCAAATAGAAACGTAATGGTTTTTTTCCATGGAGGTACCAAAGAACAGTGTTGAACCAGTTGCAATGGTGAGTTAGGAGAATGTCCTGAAATCTGTGTAATGAATGGATGAAATCAGTAATTTCACTGGAGAGAGGCATCATCCCATGGTTATACAGACAAAAAATAAAATTCGTTAATAATTAAAATTTTAAGTGCCTCATAATCCAAAAAGTGTTCTGGGGGGACTTGGAAGGCAGAAACAGGAGCTGATTATCAGAGTGATACCTCCAAACTTATTCAAGCACTGCATAACACCTCTGGAACTGTTAAAATACCTCACTTCTCGAGAAGCAGTTTCACTCCTTCATATCTGTTTCTCCAGAGCCTCTTTTCTCATGGGCGACACACATTCTGAGCATCACAGAGGTGTGAGTCCAAGTGGGGCAAAGGAAAAAACTGTAAAAAAGGACAGGTGAAAGAAGACTTTCTTCTGAAGAAATTCGCACCTTCTGATTTTCACTGAACTTGTGCCTTAAGCGAGCAAGCAGTTCTGTGTTCTGGTCCATTTTAAGTTAAATGATTTGAAACATCTTAAAATCATTATTTTCTGTTGCTTTTACATTATGCACAGGTAACCTTCCACTATGTGGGGATTATCTTCTCCATATGAGCTGTTGGTGTCATCTTGTAATTTACATACTAATTGCTCACAATCTTTAGCAGTTGAAAAGTTAAGTGTCCACAATTCAAAGGATTTCTTAATTATGAAAAGAAAGTACTTCATGGCAAAGAGTGTAGCCAATAATTAGCTACTGCCAAGTGTCAAAACACATGTAAAATTAACGTTAACTGCTGGGAACAGAAGGAAGTTGATTTCTTCTGTGGCAGTTTGAGGCTTCTGGCATGAAAAAGAAGATAATGGTTCACATATTCTGTTAGTTTCAAACCTAATGGTATTTTCTCTGTGGTGATGGCACTCAGGACTAAGTACTGTAAGATCTCTGGTGCTGCAAATTGAGAGGTGAGCTAGGTTATATACAGAGGTTATACCCCTTGTCCACGCCCATGGGTTCTGACCACTTCTGAGGGCTTGTACCACAGCTTGCAGCCAGTGGGACTTCATCTTTGTGCACACATTCGCCCTTTGTCGTTATGGGCAGCCGCAGAAATTTGGTGGGTTTTAACCAGGCCCACCACCTTATCACAGCCTCTCCTGTGCCATCATCTCACAAAGCCAGAATGAAAGCGTTAAACCTTTTTTAGCAGGGTAAATGTTCGTGTTTCTTTTGGATTTGACTGGAGGATTTTTCATGAAAGTCATAAATGTGAAACTTCTTTAAATTTGTCCTTGTGCTGGATAAGAGAGTCCAGCTGGTTTTGGTTTTACTGTGTGCAGCTGCAGATGCTTCCAAAGTTTAGAAAAGCATAATAACTTGGAGATATATGCCTGAAAAAGATTATACAGACATCTAATATGACATTTGCACACTTTTTATACCACAGTTTGAAGATTTATCAAAACATTAGAAATAAGTTTTTATATTAATCCTTCAATTAGAACATTTTCAGCTTTTGTTATTTTATATCCACTGGCTTAGTACTTTTAACTTTCTGGTTTCAGATTTATCTCACCCATATTTTTAATTTTCTTCTTAATCTTTGTCATATATTTTATTTTCAGTATTATTTCTTGTAATTTGGTGTAACTTCAGTCTCTTACCTTTTATAACTTCTGAATAGTTATTTTATGGTGACATGTCTTGCTGCATGTGCACTGTTAATGTAAATGTGATATTTTGTGTTGATTAAGGTATAAAGTTCTTGAGGGCATCTGTTCAGGTTTGCATATATAATTTCTTTTCCTACAATGTTTTACTTAGGCCTTTTCTGAAATTCCTGTATTATATTTTCTTTACCTTTCTGTACAGTGAATCCCTCTGGGCTGCTTTTCTGAGACCTTTAATTATCATGCTGTCTCTAAGACA